TTATCGTATCTACAGTTGTAGTAAAACTGTCTCATTAGAATGTCTAAAACACGCAGCACTAAGCTACACAGAAATGAGAAAAAAGTACTGTGTGTCAAACATAGCCAGAACTTTAAAGATATATCACATATTGGGTTGATTTGTAACAGAGACCTGTGTTTTGCAAGGTAATATTGAAGTGATGCACTTACTGTAAACATCGAAAATCAACAAAAGTTGCCAATATACATTTTCAGGAACAAAAAACCTTGTTGGTATTTTCATTTTTTAAATTAGTTACATTTTGTAAGTTTAATTCATACTAGATAGCAGTACAGTGAAGCTTAGATATTGAGAGATAAGTTCCTGAAGTATAACATAACAACCCAAATCAATTGCACATGAGTTATTGGTTCCAACTGTTTAATGATTGTGGCTGTTTTGTTTTTCAGACTGTCTCTAAGCTGAGAATTAAGGAAGTGATTACAAAACCTACTGAAAAACAGCCACACTGCACAGTGAGAGATAAGGTTTTTATAGATGAGCATAGTCATGTTTAACTTAATGAAGACAGTATTAAAGACTAATGGGGCTTTAGCGTTACTTCAGAGGCTTTGCATATTAGATTTGTATAAAAATATTAATAATGTAAAGCATATATTAATATAAATATGACCTGTATCCAATAGTTCTACTAGCTTGTATCAAACAGTAGAAGATATAATGATGTTGAGTGAGAACAGGTACACAATTCTTCAAATTACATCTGTTTACTAGAACATTGATTTGATATCCTTTTACAAGGCCTCACCCATACCAGTAGTTATCCAAGTATCTCTCTTTGTTTGATGATATCATTTTCCTCTTTAAATAATTTCAGCTTTTAATTCTGTCTCAAATTACTTTTCCTTAGCCTTTAATTAGTTAGAAACTGTAAACTTGAGTCTTTAACATAAATTTATATAATATATATATTTGCAAGATCTAGACCTAATTCAACGCACGATAAACTTTTTATAGTTCCAACAGATATTAAGCCTAAGCTTATTTAGTTCACTCTATGAGATTAGGTATACTTTTTTAAATATGGATATAAAACATGTATAAATGATAATGTTCTGTATATAACTTCTATCTACACAAATATTCACATTTTATATACACATATATATATATATGTTTTAAAATGTTACTTACATACGCTGAAATTCATCACCTAAAATTTAGCAAATTATATCACCAGTTATAAATTATGTTTAATCCAAGACCTCTGCTATAATCTGATAACTCTTCACTTGTAGATATCATCAGTTTTTCTATTTAAATAATGATACCTGATTGACTTATAAGACTAGGAAACAAACAAAAATAAAAAATTCAACAGTTATTAAGACACTGCTAACATACTATCTCACTTGAAAAAAAAATTTTGCAAGCTGTCGTCACCAAAAATTGAAGCTTTATTTTTTAGCTCAAAATCATTTTGAATTCAATTTCAGGTCAGGTAGAATAATTTGATATTCAGTTGTCCTATATTTTGGGGTTTATTTGCTTTTTTTTTGTTATATCTCAATATTAGAAATAGGTGTACACCAACTGAAGACCACTTAGTAAAAAGTTATGTTTAATATTAATATCTACGGACATGGAAGGGTTAAAGTGCATATGTCATGACCCTTTCAAAATTTAATTAAACTACTATATTATCACTGTATGTTAATAAATTTGGCATCATAACATTGTTTACAATTTTAATTTTAAAAGGAAATATTTAATAGATTCTTAATTTGCATCTCTGAGTCCCTGACATGGTGCTTAGAATACTCATTTACTGATTTTTTCCTCTTTCTTTATAAGAGTTTGAGATCTTTTAACCAATTAGAAAAACACAGTACAGATACTGACAAGCCAAAATATAAAATTTCAAGTTATACCTTCTTGCTTTACTGACATATTACTATTTTTGTTCAACCCACATGATACACCCTTCCCATATGTTCTGTCTATTATAAAAGGTCTATAATTCTTTCAAATATTTTTTTGACACTTTGATAACTAACAGAAGGAGTCTCTTTTAAACTAAGTAAATCAGATGGTTGTCTATTTTGTTCTAGCAGTCAAAGCCAATAGCTGGTGAGGAAAGTGTGATATGTTTAGATTAAAGACGTTGCTCGGAGCAATAATGGAATTTTTTAAACCTATTTATAGGTTAGTCAGAAAGCCTAACAATTTATTATAGTTTTGGGATGTATTCCAGAATGCATATTTGAAAACTACATGAAATATTTTTGGACAACCAACACATCAAGAAAACAAAAAGCCTCACTAAACCACACACCCAAGTGCAAAATGCCTCAAGGCTAAAATGCTAAATTTGTGTCTTTTATGTCATTTTTTTTTATTTAATGATATTTATTTTTTAACAAAAGTAATTGAAACATAAAAAATTAAATAAAAAATGCTTGTGATCTCTATTGGATCAGACTGCCATCTCATGGTGTAATTTCAACATATTTCTTACATGACAATGTATTTCCAATAGATACTCACCTCTTCACATAAAAAGCTATATTCCCCATGCATCTGCCTTAGAGACTTGCATGTCAGTAATCTTTAGGTAACTCCCACCTAATCTCATGAGTTTTCTCATGAATTGCTCTACTGCATAATGATGTTATTATACAGCAAAAGCCCTCCACCAATAGAAGGGCTACACAACCTCTCTGCACTGTAACTGCCTATGCTTTTGCACTCATGAATTTTATTTTAATGCTTGATGAGGCAAATATGTCTAAAGTGCACTGGAAGTGGGAAGGAGGGTGGGAAGTTTGTGAAGAGGTGAACATCTATCAGAAGTACAGTTTTAAGTAAGTAAAATGTTAGCTTCCATGACAATACACACCTCTCACACACACACACAGAAAGCTAGAATCCCACATTAAAATGGTGGAGGGACTGGTTAGAAATTTACTTAGATAAGCTCACTTTAGAAAGCACCAAAGAAACCCCATGGAGTGTGACAGCTGATGGCAGGGTCACACCCATGGGATACCACATCTCATCTTGTCCAGGGTACACTCTTTGCCCTGAATAGAAGGTAGAAATAGGCAAACAAACCCCATGTGTTGTGAGTATGGGTGGAATAAGAACATGGCTGTCAAAGTACTTGGACCAAGAGGTTGGAGAGCCAATATATGTAGTACAGTTGGGGCGTGCACACTTCAATTCTATCATCAGACATTGTTGGACTGATGCCAGCTGCAGGAAGAGTGTACAGAAATTTATGTCATAAAGTATGTCATAGAAAGAGTACATATGTCAACATGACTGAACAGCCATCCAATGCAGGAATAGAGCATGATTTGTGAGTAAATGTTGATCTCAATTCAACTGAACAGGAGATGATTGCAGAAGGAGGGCACGTGTGTATAGTGTGTGCCCAATTTGCCTCTATGGAACAGACACAACTGCAGGAGCAGGGCGTGGGATAGTGGTGTATGCTCACCTTGACTCTACTGGACAGTCGCAGCCTGAAGGAGAAGGGCACAGTCTTGTAATGTGCTCACCTCAACTCTACTGAACAGATGCAGACTACCCGAGGAGGGCATGTGAAGTGTTTCTCCATGTTGTTGGTATAATTATATGAAGAGTGGCCTGTGCTACACTGACAATATCACCACTGCCCCACTTCCCACTGATTGGCACCCCTTGTTCTAGCCCCATCAGTTAGGTCCCAGTCAGTGAGGATTCTCCATGGTTCGCCACCTCACCAGCTAGGAACTGATAAGTGATAAGGGTCTTTCATACTCCACTCAAGAAAAAGGGAGGAGGAATTTGTAATGGGGAGACTCAGAGAAAATGCCTAGATCCCACTGGTCCCATTTTAGCTGGAAAAGTCTTTTACTGGAGACAGTGCAATGGGTGACCACATAATCCAAGGAAGCAGGCAGAGCAACCCCTAGTGCTGGCTTTTTCCATGATAGTCAATGGAATAGAAATGGTCTTGCAGAAACCCCACCTCAACAGTGGGCATATATGGAGCCAGGGTGAATGGTATGTGCACCATCCGTTATCCTGGCTCAATGTGGAATTGTGGGACATAAATTTACCTTGGGAGGCATAACCAGCCACCTGGCAGGACCTGGTAAGCAAATGCCATAAACCAAAGGGGAATGTACTCACCTGTCTAAAGGCTGTGGGTAGACTGTAGGATGGCAAACTGAGGCAGGCAGTAACCTTAAAGAGACAAGGCAGCCAGATGGTGAGGAGCGTGGATGATGAAATTATGCAAGGTAGTCCACATGCGAGCTTTAAGGATCTCCTCCAGTGGCCATTGGAAACAAGCAGTGAGAGAATTAGAGAGGAGACAAATCTGATGGTAGGAAATGCAGAACATCTATGAGCAACTACACTCTATGAGTAGGCCAGACCTATAAATAGGCAGACTCTCCCTATAAAGGTAGAAGGAAATTTGTCCCTGGAGGAAGACGAATCCCAGGGAATGTACAGTTGAAGATGGAAACCCTGAAAGTGGGAAGTACAAGCTAAGTAGCAACAAACAGCAGGAATAATGTCATTATGCAGTAGTGCAATTCACAAGAAAACTCATGATATTAAGTGGGAGTTGCCTAAAGGCTAGTGGCATGCAAGTCTCTAAGGCAGACTCGTGGGGTGGGGAAGATAGCTTTCTGTGTGTAGAGGTGTGTATCGTCTCGAAACTAATAGTTTGTTTACTCTTAAACTCTCACTTTTTTACACCAATTAGATATGGTTTAAAGAATAATAAAATTAAATAAAAGCATCTGTGAAAATGAGGCCTGAAGCTTTTAGAATAATAATTCTAATTGTTTGCTATAATCTGCATTCTAGAAATCAGTCATTCTAGAAAAAAAAAAGTAATTTTTGATTTTAATTCATATTTTTCAGCTTTTGACTCACTATACATTGATGATTTTGCTACAGTTAGTGTTAGGGTAGAGAAAATAAGAAATAAAGTATAAAATTTTACTAAAACGAAATTTTGACATTAATTAAGGAGGTTCTAGAGGTGATGAAAATGAAATACGAAACTGTAAGATGAAAAGCAGTATTCTTATTCTTAGCATAAAAGTTGCCTTTCACTCAAGACTGATTTAGTAAAGAGTTTATAAATTTACAGAAAAATCTTTAGTAAAAATATTTTCTTAAAAATCTGATTTTTTGTATACAACAAACTTGTAATGTTTTCTAAAAACTTGCTAAACTTTGTGAAGATACACTTAGTACATTCAGTGTTATGTGTCTAATACCATGTTTATATGGTGGTTACAAAGTCAATTAAACTGACCTAGCCTGTCTACATAGGGTTAGCATAAATTATTGCTACTATTAACAACAGATTTTATTTTTGTTGATATCAGTGTTTAGAAGCTTTTGGTGAAAACATTGCAAAACTTCTAAATTCAATAACATTTATAATGTTAATAATGCTCAAATGGTAATATTTGTAACAAAAATATTTATGATTTATAATAAAAAGAATAACAAAACTGATTTATTAATGATTATCATACTTGTTGTCTCACTCCGAGGAGGTCTCAGTGAACATTGTGTCAAGCCTACATAAGCTAATAGATCTATTTAAAACAGAATAATCAGTATGGTAGAGGCATATGGTGCAACTGTATTATAAGATTTAATTTCTAGTTTGGGGAATATTGTTAATTTCTTACACTGAACCTTATTTTATGCTGTTCAAAAGCCTGAATCCCAATTTCCCCAAAACTTGTAAACCAGTTGTTCAGTTCTTATTCTCACTTCTATCAGTGAAAAAAAAAAACTAAAGTATGATAATTGTTTGTTTAGACATAATAATTTAACATCTTCCATAAGTAAATACATCTTTACATTCTAAATATCTTTTTTTTTGTTACAACTGTGCAACAAAAAATGATAGAACAATAGCCTTAAATATTATTTGGAACTTTAGTAGCACACTGTGCAGTTTCATACAGATCCTGTGCAAGTACTTCATCAAATAACTTCAAAATCTTTCCCAATCCTGGGGCTGAATATTAACTTCAGATGTCTCTGAAGTATCCCTACTCTGCTGAGCCAAATCATTAGTCGTGGATGTCACAGAACCATTTTCAACCATGTTGGGCTCTGTGTCATATGTTGTTAAGAAGGTATCATCAGATAATTGTGATTTGATGCCTGTAGTGGCACTTCTGGTAGTCATCTGGATGTCTCCACCATCCCCTGATAAAACATTTGGACCAACAAGGGACTGCTCATTTGCCAGGGAATTTTTACCTGGAGGTTTGACTTCAATACTACTCAGCTGCTCTTCCATTTGCTTCCAGCCAACATTTTCTATGTCTTCTATCTTCTTCTCTTCCTCCTTCTGCAAGGTTAATATTTCTCAATTATGCATTTTTTTTAATGAAATCAAAACAGATCATTATACAATTTTCCAAAAATATATCTATTCACATTTGACGCAAATATAATACTTTATGACTGTATTTCTTATTTTCTTGTATTAGTTTGACCTTTTGCAGGATTATTTAATCTTGTCTTTTGAATATTGCTTTTTTGTCACATTTTAAATTTGAAGGATACATATTTTGTACTTTTTGCAATATTTGGTGTCTATCAATTTCAAAATAAGAAAAACCTCAACTACAATTATTAAACAAAATGTTAAGTGAGATAAAAACAACTAAACTTGCCTCTTCTAACATTTTCTGATATTCTTCCAATTCATACTGGTACTTTGGTGAGGTGATTCCAAAGAAATATGCAAGCTTTTCACCAAGAAAATCACATCCTGAAAGAGAGAAAAATGCTCATAATGTTGAAATTTGGTTAAGAAAATGTAGGAACTATACAAACTAACTTTCATAAAATCCAAAATATTACTAGTCTGCAAGTTTGTCCATTAACAAAAATATATTTCAGACAGTCATATATGTTCCTAACCATCTTAATAAATTCAAAATATTCTTATTAAATACATTTATACTTATTTACATGTATAAGTACAACAAAACATACATATTGTGCATCAACTTACTATCAGCATATCAGAAACTATTTGATATCAAATTCCTATTGGAGAGTTTACAAACGTTCTAGCCTCTTTTCAAAATGTTAAGGTTTGTCTGACTTGCAACAAAATCTTGTGGTTAAATAAATAAAAAACCCAATTAACTATGTAATTTTGAACTTCAATCCAAAAAATATAAAATTTGAAGCAATTACTTTAAATTAAAATTTAACAAGTGTTTATTTGAATAACTTTATTCTAATTTTTATATCAGTAGCACTTACCTGAGTGTCTGTTGATTTTACCAAACTAGGTTTCATATATACAGAAATACTTTTATAAAAGTTAAATTTTTCCTGTTAGAAATTAGAAGAAAAAATGCAACAAGTAAAAGCTGACAACATTCAGATAAAACACAAGTCATATTTCTATCCTTATTTTGTTTTGTAAATAGTATTGTGACATATACTTATCAGATGATCATATATTACATGACCCAAAATTAAAATATCTGTCCAGTATAAGTACTGATTTGAGACAATAACTAGATCTTTATGATAAAAAGAAAAATGTGTGTATCTAAAAGTTGTTTTATATTCTATTAACAAGTAATCCTAGATATGATTTTTAATAAAGATAAAAACAATCAACAATGACTTAATCTGTCACACATTCTTCCTTCTGATATACATAACTGATAATCAAATGTTGTATAAGTCTGATTCTGTACATGCTATTCAGCAATTGTTTTTACTGATTTGCATGCTTTTTTTAAGTACCCATGTTTTCTGAGTGGTATTTCTTGAGTGTATGTAAATAAGTGTATTTGTATACAATGTGTCAATCATTAATAACCATGATTTACTTGAAAATATATGCAAAAAATACATATGCTTAAAAATTACTATAGTTTTTTAAAGTTATTTTTTAATTTTTAGACTTGGAAATATTTCTCTTAAACTCTCTGAGCACAGTAGGTCGAAGTGCACATGTTACAACATTTGTACAGAGTTACATTAAAAATTTAATTCAACAACTATATTATCAGTATATATCAATAAATTTGGCATCAAAAAAGTGGTTTATAATTCAAATATTGATACTGTATAAGATCTTATTTCTTAATTTCAAAAGGAAATATATAAATACATTTTCAATCTTCACTTCTTTTTATAATGTGACACTTTTTCACTCAGAATTGCCCATTTCAGTTTGTCTTCTACTACTGTATGACCTATCTTTCTGTGGAACTTCACACTTATCCCCAAACTAAAATATCAACTTGTAGCAACAAAGCATTTTACTATACAGAGATATAAGCAATAAACTGAAGGCCTCATCTAATGTCCTTCCAATTACATTCCATTTTCAAGAAATCTTATTAATTGTCTCTGAAATTTGCTACTGGATTACTCATAATTAACAAAAAAAGGGAATATTTCAATTTACTGAATGTGATGGGCTGAAACCATTGGAATAAAGAGTTTTAAACATTTTGCTCATTGCCTTTCTTTAATAGATTGGAACTCTGCTTGACCAGAATAGGAAGAAAGCTCTATGTGAAGAGAGTCTTGACCATCCTGCAAGAAACTGGACAAGTCTCATGTGTGAAGCCAGAGTGGTGACATGACTGGATGGAAGAGAGAAGTACTAGGATGAAAAAGAAGGGAGTAAAAGAGTGAGTCAGAAGGCTCAGAGGAAACCACAATTGAGCCAGCCAATAGGGCAACTTCAGAAGGACCCACTCAAGAAGTGTCTCAAATGAGGGAGGAGATGAATGAGGGGGGGGGGGAAGCACAAAGGAATAGATTATATCATTCCTGACTGAATACATCCACTGGAAATGCCGATGGATGTAGAATAGGAGACCTAAATATGGGTAACTTGTAACTGTCATACGTGGCAAAGGCATTAATGTGAGGATGCCCAGACAATCAAAAGACATAAGGATTGAGAGACCGCTCTAGAAAAGGGATCATGAGAAAGGTTCCATTGACCATACAGAATCTACAGTAAAAGAAGCATGTGAGCACAACCCAAGGAATAAGAGATTCCAAGGAAGCCCGAGTCCCCAATAACTAGAGAACCTCTTGTGCACAAAGTGAAGGAGAGGATAAAGCTGTGGAAATCAAACACTCCATGGCCCACAAATGAAGTGGAGAAGGCTGTGACCTGCTGAGATTGGAAGTGAAGAAAACATTCAATTAAACCAGATGCTGGGTGGGTGTGAGATGAGACTTCTCCAGCTTGACTAGTCAACCTATTTGTTGTTGTTGTTGTTTATTGTGTGCCTTCAATCATCACAGTTATGGCTTATGATTGGGATTCCACCATTATATGGATGACTGGCTTCTTTTAACTCCATCCTAACAGGACTCCTCTAACCATACTCTTTGGGAGGTGGCTCATCTGTATGGGGCTTACACCAGGCCAAAAGAAGAGTTCTGAACTGATAAACTCAACCGTGAGCAAAAAAAGAAACATTTTAACACATGAATGCCAAATTGAGAAGTTATGATTGAAAATTCAATATATAGGGAGCCAGCAGTGCTAGGAAAAGATGTCACACTCCTATTGGTGAAGGGTTGTCTCATGCTCATTTGCATGCAGCAATATCACATAGAAACACATGAGATTAGATGGGAGCCTCAAAGCTAGTGGTGAGCAAAAAAAATTCACATAAAGAGGGCAGCACTGAATTGGGAAGCTAGATGTAAGTAGAGGTTACATATTGTATTTGAAGTATATTTTCATGATTACATTGTGGTTAATCTCTTATGAACAATAAATGTTTCTAATTTTTTTTTACAGATCTATGAAAATGATGACTGTTTACCTTCTATATTAACTATGACAATTTAAAAGAGTGATTGTGTGGCATATTGGTAACTTACTGCTGCTGAACTTGTGTCTTTTATTTTTCATTATTGAAATGTTACAATTTAAAAATACATGATTTAAACGTTACAAATGTTAACAATCTTTGAGTACATAATACAGCATTATATGTATTTAGTAACATTCTATAACTGACTTTGCTAACATGTAATGACCCTCAATGTTTTAGTAACAGTGCTTTAAATGATCCCATCAATTATGAAAAAAATGGGAAAGCTATTTATTAACTTTTCAAAAGTATGTACTGTAAATGTTAAAGGTATAATAAAAGTGGGTGCATCAAATAAACAGCAATAGAACAGCCTACCACTAAGAGCTCTAAGTAAAGCATGCTTTTTCAAAAGCTTTAATTTTATAATGTCATTGATATATATATATAATATATACATGTAAACAACAAATCCAAAAGGTTATGTGCTAATGATACTTATAAAACCTGATTATCTTGAAGCTTTCTCAGAAAGTAAACTTTTTTTTCTTCTGAGATGGATTTTGAATGAACATCTAACTTTCAAAAGGGCTCAGCTAATAAAAGAGATACACACACACAAAAAAGTATCAGCTTTGGATCAGTCACAGAGTTATGTGAGACTTTTTACTAATATAGTGTTTGTAGTACTTTTATATTTAGTCACTAACAGAATGTATTACAAAAAAGCAGCCTACCAACTAAGGACAGAAGGTACTACAAAGAAGCAGCCTACCAACTAAGGACAGAAGGTACTACAAAGAAGCAGCCTACTAGCTAAGGACAGAAGGTACTACAAAGAAGCAGCCTACTAGCTAAGGACAGAATGTACCACAAGGAAGCAGCCTACTAGCTAAGGACAGAAGGTACTACAAAGAAGCAGCCTGCCAACTAAGGACAGAATGTACCACAAGAAAGCAGCCTACCAACTAAGGACAGAAGGTACTACAAAGAAGCAGCCTACTAGCTAAGGACAGAATGTATTACAAGAAAGTACCATACAAGCTAAAGACAGTTTGTAGTACAAAAAGGCAACTTACCAGCTAAGGTTCGACTCCCCATCCACCAGGCCAGGTACCATAAGTACGGAATCCATGCCATTTGTTTCTACAAATGAAATTAATTACCACAGAAGACTAAGAAAAGTGTGTATGCCACATAATTTAAACTGCATGTCATTACAGAAAATATTATACATTTTTAACGTTTCACTAATTTAATAAAATTAAAATAAATAAACTTATCTAAAATGTCTAGCATTATTTTCACTAACTTTTTTTCTGAAATTTCAATATTTTACACACTATCATTATTATATACAACCAACAGTATCAGTGGCAATATGAAGTAAAAATATCACCTTATCATACTTACAACCAACACATCTAGAATTAGAAAATTATTAAAGGTATTATGAAAGAATACATGTTCTATAAATAAATCTCATATTATGGCAATATTTGTAACACTTTCACCTGCTTTATGTATAAAAATTACAAATATATCACCAAACTACTCATAAAAGAAATAAAAGTTACTGCAACTTACTCAAAATTAAAAAAAATAACAATGATTAAAGGCTACTTGTTATCTTAACATATAACAGTAAACATTCATTGGCCCCAGTTAGTGGCACTGTCCCTCCCTTAATGTATAAAAGTAACAGTAAACATTTACTGAACCCATCTGGATAAAGCACTAGGGCCAAACAAGGTTTTATAGGAGGTAAAAGATTACATATGTGAGCTTCTGTCTTTTATTTGTGATGAGTCAATATAAAGTTGGTAAGTGCCTAAGTCCACTTAGGGAGAGAAGACTTTCAGTTGGAATTTATTACAGACCACCAATGACCCCGATCAAATTAATGATATATAATGTAAGAAAGCTTTTAGTTGCAATTTGTTAGAGACCACCAGATAAAACTGACAAAATTAATGAGAAACTTTATAATGAGATTAAGATTTGGTGAATAGCCAGGACAAAGATGGTAGGTCATTGATAAAGCTTCACTTAACTGAAGATAGACCACCCTTGGAAAACCAGATGAAAAAGGAAGTGAGATAAAGTAGAGTCAGAAACCCTGGAGGAAATGGGAGGCAAATGGCCAGCATTGCTAAATCATTAACTTGTGTTTATAAATTGCAAAGGTGGATGGCTGATAAAAGTGAGCAAGAACATAGGCTACTTTGTGAGAAAACCCTGCCTATATTGAAAAGGACTGGACAAAAGCCATATAAAAAGATGAAGAAGTAGAACACCTGAGGAAACTTGACATAAAAAATACCTCCAAAACAGATGAGATAAAGGCCTCAAAAATACCAAGAGGTGAAAGAGAATAAATCACGACTGAGCTGGCTAAAGAGAGGTAAAAAGAAGAATTTAGCAAGGAATGACGCGAGTTAAACAGTACCCTTGAAACAACTGAAGGGAAGGTTAGGCATACAGAAAGAGAATGAGCCAAACAATACTTAGAGGGAATATGTCAGGGCCATGGAGTCTGGGACTGGTGATTAAAAAAGCTGAAGCTCGGCATAGAGGGGAGTCACAAATGCATTGATAAGAGGACTCACAATGTGAGAAAGAATCCACAAAAACAATAGAAGATATAAAGACCATTTTGTCAGAAAGATTTAGTCTGGGCAAGACAGGCATCTGCCACTAAATTCAATTCCCAGAACATGGAAGGCAACAACCAGGTACTGTTGTCATTAGCTCAAAAGCGGTGCTAGAGAACAAGAAAGCAGAGGTTCCAAGAGTAAGTACCTCCCTGATGGTTGATGTAAGAAGCTACAGTGGAGTTGTCAAAATAGAAGAAAACAGAATGTCCAGAAAGCTATAACAAAAGATGGTGGCAGGTCTATTGAACTGCTTCATCTCAAGGACATTGATATGAAAAGGTTGCTCCACAGAAGACCAAACATAAAAAATGGTGAAGGTATTCATAATTGCACACCAAATAGCTAAGGAGGTATCTGTGAACAGGCATAAATCTGGGTTGGATTGGAAAAAGATGGATGCTCAGAGCCATGTGGAAACACTTGAGCCAACAGTAAAGAGTGAAAAGATGGAGGTAGAATGACCAGACTCCCAAAGAACAGGACTAGGAAATGCCAAATGTCTATATAGTAATGGAAATGTAGGCCCAATGAGTGTATTCTCCATGTGAAAGCCCTAAGGACTTAGTTTAAAGCAGACAAGTGAGGGTCCTAAAAGACAAAAGAAGCTCCTGAGAGAAAACCTATACTCCCAGAGGTTTCCTGAAAAGTTATTCCAAAGGTGGACAAAATGTAACAGCACAGCCCTCACAAAACCAAAGCTGAAGGGTAGTTCCAGAAACAACTGATCACTGAGCCTCATGATGATTGGCCTCTTGGGAAGGGGTACACCATGAAAATGCCATAGGATGAGGGACTCTCCAAAACACATGCACATGAAAAAAAGGATATAATTAGATTTTTCTAACATGAAATTGTGGGATTCTAATTCCAGAAAATCAGGCATCCCAATAAAGCAAATTCCAGAAACAAAGAAAGCAAATGAATTGAACAATATCTAAAGATGAAAATATGGCAGCATAAATAATAGGTTAGTGCAACATTTCCCAATAAAGCTGTCAAGTAGTGATACAGAATGTAGAGCCTCAGAAGGAAAGGGTAAAAAAAGACAGCATGCTAAGAGGTTGAGTAAACAAAAGACACAGAAGAGCTGATTGAGTGTTAAAAAAAAGAGTCAAGTAGGAGAAGAAGAAGAAAATCCCCAAGATGTGAGAAGAAATTCCAGGGATAAGAATGCTAGAAAAGAGGAAGAGTTCCAACTACAGGCTACAAGGAATGAGTCTTAAGTTTGAGAAAGATATGGCAACTGAAAATAAACAAGGAATAAAGACAAAAAGAATCTGCAATAATGCAACAATTAACAAGGGGGGAAGAAGGGCAAAAAATTTTATGAGACAAGGTGTGTGCAAGAGGCTGACCCAAGGACCAGCAAAACAACTGCAGAAAAAAGAATAAATGTCACAAGCCTAAGTTATCAGAGTAGTAAAAAACAAAGGTGGGTGTTACCTTATCCTCATAAGGAATAGAACCAGATGCAAAGGAAGCTTGTGGGAAGAGCTGGTCTAAAATTCTCAAAGCCAAGAAAGGCTTAGCAGAATTTACAGAAGCAGGAGTTTTGGGTCTGATATGAAGAATGTAGGATAGGATGGAACCAACCACATGATGTACAATGGTGGTAGCATTGCTCACTGTCTGAGTAACTCCAACTGCCATTTAAAAAATATAGGGCAACTCCAATGGAGAAAAGTTTGGGCTGAATTCATGGAAAGTAGTAATATTATGTATTATCATTTATTTGTTTTTTTTATTTTCTACAAGTGTTTTAGTAAGCCCATTATGTCTTTGGTATTTAGGCTTTGGTTATTTTCATATTGACAAAATTAGACTAAATATTGAAACCTGAACACTGGGTTAATGACAATGGGGAATATTCCTATCAAAACACCATATCGCAGACTGTAACATAAATGAAATTAATGTAACAAAACATAATAATTTGTGTAAGTACCTCTAACTGAAATTCTCCATGGTTGATTCACAGCAGATAGCCTAGTATGTAACTTTGTACTAAAACAAACTAACTGAAATCAACTTTAAAAATTGATATCTTTCTTTCTCAAAATCAAGAAAAATGACACTTCATATATTAACTAAGAGTTGAAATAATAAGTACAAACTTTCTGTAATTCTTAATGAAAAAAAACATGACTGAATACTGCAGTACCAAGTAAAAACTGAGCTTTTGGCACATTATTAAAAGCTCAAGAGAAGTATTGCACATGGAAGATGTGTCCCCTTCCAATGGGTGGAAGGTTATAATTTAATGCTGATTGCATCATAGACTAGCACAGTACATGTTATTATGTGTAGGGGTGGTAGTTTCATTCAAAGGCTAGATGCATGTGCAAATATTTTTGGTAGTTGTTTGAGGCATTAACAATGTGGTCTGTTGAGAAGCTACTGGCATTTCTGAATTAAGTATTCACAGTGCTGAACTAACTGGTTGACATTACTTATTAATTAACTAACAAACTCATTACTGAAAAACTCACTCTAATAAACTTATTCAGTAATTCTAAACAAGCTTATTTATAGATATATGGCTCAAATATCATAGGCTACAACAACACTAAGAACACAGTACTTACTGTATCCAGCAATGCTGTGGAATCTGTTACATCTTCAACTTCTTCTCCATCATCTGTGCTGTACTCTTCTAAGACACCATCACTAAAATGAAGAATTCTCCTGGGCACCTTTGTGTTTTTGTTTATTTTCTGACTTGTGTCTAAAGAGACCTCTGTAAACACAAGGTCTTTTTTCTCTTGTGCCTCATCTTTGTTCTAAGAATAAGATTATATCTTTATCATGAACTGTAGAAGTAGTAAAGTTTTCAAAACACTAAGCAGTATCAAATGTTATGAGTGCCATGTTTTACAGATTTTGGGGTATACCAAGTACAGCATTTCAATTATAAAGGATAAACTTACATCTACAGACAAACACAGTTGACAGGATCCACATTTTTATCAGATTATATAAACACATTTAGTACTGTATAGTATATATACAGTTGCTACAAATAAATCCAAAAAATTTTAAATCTAAAATATTAATCAACCTTATTAACTACAACAATCCCCATCAAACTTTAGTGTCAAGGTAAGACCAAGTACAAATTTCAGGCTGTTGATATACTTTTATCAAGTTGGATGACAAGAAACCCACTTTGGGACAATAAAGTTTGGAGACAGATTGAATTGGTAATGAAGAAAACTTTATTAAAAGTTTAATAAAGTAGCAAATGTACAACATTTTGACAAGGTTTTGTCATCACCAAGTACAAGTAACTTATATAGATGCAGGAATATATACATACTGTATGGAACAGAGGTCGTTACACATTATTTTATAAAAGGGATTGGCATTGTGTGATTTCACACAATTTTTACTGTGTAACAATTTTAGTTTATGGCCAGATTTTTGTGTGAATCTGAAGTCAATAGGAATTTTATGTTTAATGGCAAGTTTTGTTCAAGTGTGAATTATATATTTGAAGTTATTTCAGGGATAAATAGTAAACTGCAGTGCAATTCTGTGTAGTTCTTTGGGTTATTAGTTTCAGTTTTGTTCATGAGGTGCAATTAGAGGTTTTTGTTTTGGTAGTTGTGTGGAAAAGTCTTGAAGCTGTTTTTATAAGGCTTTTTAGTGGATTGACTTTTTGCTTGATTTCATCTGTGTGTCAGATCCAATAATGTTGATATTAACAAAAGCTAACTGCTTGTTTTCATGTTCGATAGGGAATTTAATGTTGGGGTGAATGGAATTTGGGTGTTCAGTAGTGAAGTGAAACCAGGAAAATAGTAATCAACATATCTGTACTAAATTACTGATATAATACATTGCCATACATATTTTGCTTTATACATGTTTACCTTGGGGTATCACCTGTCAATGACCCCCCTGCCCAAGTTATACTACACATCATGATACTGTGTGACATAGGCAATGTTTAGTGATGTATATTCTGTTTTATGATGAACAAAAGCAAAATTACTGATAAACTGTTATTTTAAATAATTATTATAACATGTAATTACTTTTGATAATTAATTGAATAAATATAAGTACAGATATTAAATTAAAATAAAAACTAACCAAAACTGTAGATTTATTCTATCTCTGAACTGTTAAAATTTAACAAAATAATCAAACTGTTTTATTTTGCTTTGGCATATTTTAAATCATTCCTACACAAATACATCCTACTGTGACTACTGTCATGGGGACCATTTTATTAATGCATTAAAATTTGTAAGATTGAACTTCATGGAAACAGCTTCTTTCTCAATAGTAATTTGTCAAGGGCTTTTAGGCTGTAGTAAAATGATCTTCCATGACATTAAGGAAACCAAAACAAAGCCTTGTCCTGAGCTCTTATACACTGTTTAGGCAGAAATCTAGCTACTGTTTACATAATCTATTATAGATATATTCATTACAATTAATGGTAAACAAAGAAACTGATATGGGCAAAATAAAGTTTATGCATAAAATATGCACACTGATTTCCTAAATGTGCCAGAATTAACCTGTATGTGATTTTTTGGAAGGATAATGATAATTTACTTTTTTTCCGTGTCCTAGAAGCATAACTGAATCATAAGATTCACTGGTTTTTGTCCATAAAATAACATTTCTTAATATTTCCTTGGCCAAAAAAGCAAAATATAAAATTCACTGACTTTTCCTGGTCTCCCTAACTCATGAGAACCATGTGATTCTAGAGGGAAAACAAGTGGTTGGCAGCATCCACCACCTTTTTTTTTGTTTGTTTTTGGTGGTGGTGAACTGCTAATTAGAAGGAAAATAACTCTCTGTCAACATAAGACACCTACTTTATTATTATCATTGGTGGTGGTGGTGAACTGTTGACTAGAAGAACAGCAAATGGATAACATACCAGCCAATCTTTTTTTTAAGGCTTGTATGTTCCATGATTTGAAGAACACTGTGCAAATTATTTATTAATTAAATGTGATCAATTAATGGGGACATCAATTAATCACTCAGGAAATTCCACTACTTGCCTGTGGGCTGCCTTGTAAAGATAGTGGTCACATGAGAGACAAGCATGTGTTCAACATTTTAATATTCTGGCAAGTAGATGGTGTAACATTCAACCTACTACTAGTGCAGACACTTACAGTGGGTTTCCAGCCTATCATTCATGTTACCTTTTCTTTTTAATTCACAGTATCATTAATACATTACTTAGATATTTCAAAATGTACTTATACTCTTGCAACAATGTGTTTATATTTTATCTTTAAACTTACATGAACAGCTCCTGTTTTTTTAAAAGCCACACCTTAAGCTTTAAAATAATTTTACATCAAAATGAAATATCCCAGGCTTAACTGCCATGATTATTATAATATTAGTAAAAAGTTATATTGTGAACAGTACAGTAGAGGTCAAAAGCTCCACAGTATTAGTAAGATTACAGAAAAAGTTATATTGTGAACAGTACAGTAGAGGTCAAAAGCTCCACAGCATTTGTAAGATTACACAGTAACATAAAATTGATATCCACACTCTCTAACAAGTTACACTTACACTAATATTATACTAGGGTTGAAAAATGAAGTTCAGAAACGCCGAGATTAAAAGAAGCTTTCTATACTTAAACAGAGAAAACTTCAGTATTTTTTGTATTACATACTGATATTACTATTGAGTACTAGTAGTAATTTACCGAGTACTTGTCTTAGTCACTTCTAAGTTCTAGTTCTACTGTTATTGCTTAGGGCTAGGAGCAGTATTAGTATTACAATTAGTACTAGCCAACACTTGAACTGAATTTGAGAACTCTATCTTTTAACTATTAGTATTACAATAATTTTCACTTTACCTCTTCGTGACTATTTATTTTAACCAGTACTGGCTCAGCAGTTTCTGTTTCAAGTTTGATATCTTGAACAGATAGTATTAAGTCTGTTTTTATTTGATTATTTGTTTCTGTGGTTGCCATGTTTACATTCCAATGAAAGCGTCCTCTGTATTCACATTATATGATACTTAAATTTATAATTTAAAAACAACAAGAGACTTATTGGTCCATTTACTTTAGGCCGTCCTATTTATTGTACCAAACTAAACCTTAAACAATAGGGAATCCTCAGTAGCTGCGGCACTTGAAATTCTTTTAGGCGGGATTATAGTAAACTAATCTACGAGACCTTTTTTCTTTTTATTAGCTATATTTTTGTGCGCCGCAATGCCAAGCATGAGGTGCGTGTATTCCCGATTCGATTTTATTACTCATCTGGTTTTTTACCAGCCTACTCTCAAGTTGAAGTTTATTTAGGTAGGATTAGAGTAAATTAATTTATGAGACCTTGTGCTTGGTCAAATACATCAATTGAAAGAGTTTGATCTTCTGAATCCAAAACTGTAATTAGATCTTAAATCGGTTAAGAAATGACTGAGTATGAATTAAAAGCTTGTATTTGAAAAACAAAACAAAAACAACTCAGAGCCGTTCTATTAGTCGCAGCTAAAAAAAATATCAAAGCCAGCCCACCACATCTGAAGACAACACATTCAAAAGCCCAACGAACCTGTTAGCAAAATAATATTATCTGAGATGAAGGTGACTCATTCCCTGCCAGAATTCATATTTATGTCTCTAAATAACTACAATCCTTACCATTACCGTATATACTCGTGTAATAAAAGAATTTTTGTGACCAGTTTTTTAAGCTGTAATTTAGTGGTCGACTTTTACACGCGTAATACTTTCGAGAGGTTGAAATGCATACTCAATAAGAGCCCACAAAACATGAAACAAAACTTCAACTAACATAAACGAGAATGGAGAACAAAAAATCATTTTTAATTTTTTATTTACAAAAAAGGGTAAAATGAAAACAGACATTATTTTATAAATAGAATAATCAGATTTTTTAAATAAACATGTTACTGATCTATCTACTAGTAATAATAGCACCCTTACCTTAGAGTACTGTTAACGACAGCGAAAGTCACGTGACGCTGGTAACATCTGATGAGATTCTCGAAGAATCGTGAATTGTCCTGGCAACTCTAGTCTGTTCCAGCACCCTCTTTTTTTAGTATATAAGCCCAGCAAATAAAGCGAGATGAGGATGGCAGATAGATAGATATAGCGACAGATAATAGTGACGGTAATATAAAGTGTGTGTTTTGTTATCGAGATGCAAACGTATTAACTGTGGAAATTCTGTGTATTATAAAGTTCTATCGAGAAAGAATAAACTAATTTTAATTAAGA